TCTCAAATATATAAGCAAAAGTGAGTTAATTCTGCATTTATGGAAATAATTATTCCAGATAGATATCTAAATTATGGTAAGTTAATTTTTTCATGGGTTTGTACTCAGTTCAAGTGAAAACTGTATATTTTTCCATTCTCATTATTATTATAGCAGTGTTATTTGTACTAAAATGAGAAAATAGTTTCACTCAAAATAAATCTCAGCTACAGTTTAATAAATCAGTGTCACAGTACAATAAATAAAAAAACAGATAAAAAAGTTTCAGAGGATATTTGCTGTCTGTATGATAATTTAAGGTTTGAAACTGTAGATCGGTCAGAGAATTATCAAATCAGAATAAAATAATAATTATCAAATTACAAAGTATCTCTGATGTGATGATTTAGGCATGTGGGGAGATCACAGTGCATAAAAAACTGGGTTTGATTTCTGTGTGAACTGAGCCCTCAAGCTGCCTGAGGAACTTTTATATGACCATGATCAATATAGCCACATTATTTCTGGTGTACGCCCACTCCCCCCGCAGCCTCCAGAAACATACCCTGAAATGACGTTACACATGAAAGATATATGAACTCTGAGCAGTCGTGCCGCAGAGTCATTTCAGACGGTTAAAAAAGGCAGCAGACGGCATGTTCTGTGGTCAGATTTCTAGCAACTTAGATTGTATTTACTAAAGATGAGAACATCCATGTTGATATGAGTGAGACGTGCACACGCTGGCAAATTCTGATGTCAAATGTTGTATATTTTCAATTTTAAGACAAATGTGCATTTTTTCCCAGGTCATTTAAACATTAAAGTTATCATCTGTCTGGATAACTTCATACAGACAGCAGATCTTTGAGCTGTTAGAAAATTGCAACAATTATAAACTAATTCGACTAAAATCTGCAATTCAAAGTTTCAACTATAAACATGTTTTATTTCCTTATCATTTTCAAAATTTTGCATTAACGTTTAAACAAGTTGGGCAAACTAAAACTATTAACTTATCAGTAACATCTTACCAGTTTTAGCTTTGTAAAGTGGCTCATGTGTGCTGCTTTCACTTAAGTGCTAATTTCTCTGCAGTTGGTAAAATAACTGAGTGAAATATTATTATTATTATTATTATTGTTTCCGTTTGTCTGAATAAGTGTGAAACTACAGATGGATTCAGCGTGTAATGGAATAAAGAAAAGCGAGTGCAGTGATCTGGCTGTGAACCCCCGGCCCCCTCCCGCCAAGCTGGCTCGACTGGAGCAACACAGAATGGGATCCTCGACCCCCGAGAGGAGGAGACCGGGGAGTCCCGTGGCCAAACCTCCCTGCCAAGCCCAGAAACCCTCGAACACAAGTGGACACACCAAAGGTACGTGGTCAGATATAAGGAAGGGTTTAGACTCAGGTTTTCCACTGACCCTTAAAATAAGGAATCATCTTATATTTCAAGCTAAAAAAAAAAGGACAGCATAAGGTTATAATTTTTAAAAAGCCAGTGCAAGGCTTCATCAATCAATCAATCATCAAAGGCATCGCAAATCTGTTTATATACGTTCAATAAAACAGGGAAAGATGTTAAAAATAGACATACACTCATATATTGTTTTGGCTRTATTGTTAATTTGGTCTATTAAATTTGACAAAATTGTTTGACAACATAGTTTAAAAAACAACTAGAGAAAGTGCATTTTCTGCAAAAATATGAAAAAAATGCAGTGATATGAATGATTASGAGCACTGGATGACAGCTGAATTTGAAGAACATGAAAGTGAGTTTTAAAAGCTGGAAGAAGCACAATAAGCTATAAAAGAGCAAAACAGTACCTAAAATAAACACAATGCTTGATAAAAGAAAACTGAAAGATAAAKGTGCAAAAACACAAGCTAAAAGACTTAAGCTAAAAGATCAAATTAAAAAAGGGTTGCTAAAAGTAATGAAATGCTAACAAATGAGGAAAACACTAGCTAAAAACTAAAATGATCAAAATAGCTAATACTCGCTGRAACCAAAAGCTAAAAGTAGCAAAAGCTAAAATAAAAATAGCAAGGTAAAGCTAGGCTAGCTAAAAGCTAAATGTGGCAACTAAAAGAAGCAAAACACTAATAGCTAGAAATCATAAAATGGTCATTAGAAGCTAAATGTAGCAAAAATGATAGCTAAAATGAGCAAAACTGGCATAGAGCGGGTAAAATAAGTATTGAACACGTCACCATTTTTCTCAGTAAATATAT